TGTTTTGGGAAGGTGGCTGCCAATAATCATGTCATGTATTCACATTTGTCGTGGGTGCGTGGAAACTGCCCCCCCCCTTCCTGCTCCTCCTCCTCTCTCTCTTTTCCTCAGCAGTTGGGACTACGTGACCGAGCCGGGGGTCGCGGGATGGCAGGTAGACATGAGTTCATCATCGTTCATCATTCAGGTAGTTGTGAGTCAACGTGAAATGACAGGTGCGATAATGCTATTGTAGCGTTGAATAAATTCAAGTCAGTTATAAAGTGAACAGTAGGATTGTCACAGGGAAAACGTTGTTTTATTTCGCACAGCACTGTCGTCGTAACCGGCCCCGTTCTCTCCGCATCCCCTTTTATACCTCTGGGCGTGCCCTTACCGTCGGACGCGTCCCTTCTCGCCTCGCCGTCCGCTTCGGTCATCTCTCCTATTGGTTTGGCGTCCGACATTAGTATGACGAGTGACCACCTGGTCTATCTTACGTCAGTTTGGAATGTGTCCAAACCCAACCCTTTGGCCCTTGGCTGGCTGCCAAACTGTCCCTAGTAACTTTTATTCTGCATGTGTTGCTTCGTAACAGTGGCTAATTATTTTAGCCCACTCTACTGCGTGCTCGCTACAATCTAACACCGTCTGTGCCCTTTAAACTAATCGTCTATCTGCCGTTGGCATAATTACCAATCTTCTAAGCGTTGCGATGTTAATGATTCAATGTGCTGTTGGACGCTTCTATAATCGTTGTCCCTCAAACTAATTTCTCGAATACTTGTGCCACTATCGCTTACGCTCCCTATTCCTACATTTCAATATTAATTTCCGCTCTCATGATTTCTGCTTTATTACACAAGTGCTGTGCCAGTACAGTACAATATGTACGAGTAATGCCAAACACATTAATATTTCTGCAGTGAACCTTGTGCAGCCAAACGCGAGCTTTGGTGTGCAGCCGACCTCCACGAAAAAACGTGGTTTTCGGAGCTTTTCGGTTTTCAGAATTTCAGATAATGGATTGTGTACTGTAGTATAATATCAGGAGTAGATAAAGGGAATTCCCTTTATCTACTCCTGATAATATATACAGGCACTTTCAGTCTTTCATATGATTTACTAGCGCCACCTAGCGAGTGCGCTGTGTATTCATAGAGACATTCTATAACAATATTCAATTCTAACCTTGAACCCAAGCCTAACAATAGCTCTAACCCTAACTCTTGCCCTTGTTACCCTTATAATGTAAATATTCACAACAAATAAAGCATGCAGGTAGTTTTCGCTTGTAGAAATGTTAGAATAATGAGCGCTTGATCTACTAGCACCACCTATAGCGAGTGTCCTGTGTATTCTTAGAGAAATGATATTATACAGGCACTTTAAGCTCGAATTTGGAGGTGCTTGCCAGTATGTGTGAGTATACAGCGAACCCTTTATACATAAAATATTTATTCGTGCGTGAAAACCCAACTAATGTAGCAGCGTGTGTGTGGTCATTACGTGAATGGTTTTCCACTGCATGTGCCTTTTCTCCATGTGTGATTTTACGGTGATATCGTGTGGACATATTATACCGTACGGAACAGTATGGGTAAGGCAATGGTAACAAATGTCAGCATATGAATTATTAACGTCACCTAGTGAGTGCGCAATATATTGATAGAGGCATTTTATATTATTATATAGTATAATATACAGGCACTTTCAGTCTTTCATATCACATACAAGCGTCACCTAGCGAGTGCACCGTGTATTAATAGAGACATTCCATAACAATATATAGCTACAGTCGCCCTTCGTTATGACATACCCTGTTTATAACATTTACACTGCTACAATGCACACATCGCCAAGTCCCGAATTTGTGTAATGCATTATTCCATTTGCTAGTATCATTTAAAATGTACACCTTCGTAACGTAAACTTCAATACAACGTTCAAATTTTCACTGGAAAACTGCATACTAGCCTTCGTTACAACGTACGGCACACTATTCTTGGGCGTGTGGCCAGTAAATTAAGTGGCAAAGCAGACGAAGATTACTGCATTTTCAAGTTTTAAGTAAACGAACTGATTCAGTCGCATCAGCAACATTTAAACTTATCCATGACATCTGCGAAATTAACGCGGGCTCTTTAATTCCGTTGACTGCAAGTAACGGGAACAAAAGACGGGTGTGTTTTATACATTGTTTTATTTTACTCTAAGTTGACAAATTTGTTACAGGTGTTATCATTAAACTTTCATGTTTTAATTCTTTCGTTAGTGTTCATTTTATACGAACTATCGTTATAACGTACTGATTCTTAAGGTCCCAGGAGGTACGTTGTAACAAAGTTCGACTGTATATTAAGCTTACACGTTTGTGTCAGTTTACTGCGAACCATACATACAAAAACCATTGATCTGTGTGTAAAAAATAGGGTCAAATGTAGCAGCAATGTGTGTAGTCATTACGAAACCTTTCTCCACTTCAGGTATTTTTCTTTCAGATGCGATTTCACAGCCATATCGTGTAGAGATGTAAGGTATGAAACAATACGGTGCATAAACAAATGCTGTTTGCGTCTCAGGCCGCTACCAACCTTTTCTTCTTTGTTTGCAGACATGTTTAGGGTTTGTTTTGTTTACTCTTATTATACCCTTATAATGTAAATATTGTAACCCTAATCCTAATCCTAGCTCTAACCCTAACTCTTGTCCTTGATACCCTTATAATGTAAACAGGGCCGTAGCCAGAGGTAAATTTTGTAGGAGGCAAATGTTGTGAGTTAAAGAACAAGTGCGAAGCCAGCCAATAGGGCGTGGGGTATGGGGCAAAAAAATACGTTGAGAAATTTTGTAGGAGGCATTTGCCTCCTATTGCGTAATGGTGGCTACGGCCCTGAATGTAAATATTCACAACAAATAAAGCATGCAGGTATTGATTGCTGTAAAAATGTTAGAATAGTGAGCGCATAATCTACTAGCGCCACCTAGCAAGTGTGCAGTGTAGTTATAGATACATTCTATCAAGAGCGTATAAAAAATGCTTCTTTATAGGCCGTATAAAGAAGGCCTTCTTTATACGCTCTTGATTCTATATACAGTAAAACTCGCATAAGTCGA